CTCTGGAGCTGTGCTAGAGAAAGGCACATGCTGTTATTTTATATGGAACTGGGACCTGTATTTTCACACTTTAGAGCTGGATTTGGGAGCTTTCCACCACTAATCACTCATGCAAAATACACTGGGGCAAAGGCAATTAACTCCTTGTGTGCCAGGATCTAGTGCCTGGCAAGACCCACTCATCGTTAGCACGCACATGTGAAGAAGGGCGGCAGGGCCCTCTGCTGAACTCTTTGCATGGTACAAAATAAACAGGGAACACAGAAAACTCGCAAGCAGAAGGTTACAGAATGTGTTGATGGGCCACAGAAATTGATAGTTATTTTTGTACAGGTGGGGAAAATGCCTTGTACAAAATGAGACTGCAACAAACTTCCCTCTTTAGTGAAGTAAATTAACAAACATGGAAATTTGGCCGTACAACATGAAAAACGAAAGCAAATACTTCACAAAAGCCCCAAATGCTTGTTCGTGGTTTTCTGGTTGCCCTCTTCAGGACATGAATGTCCCCTAATGCCCCACGTGTGAGCAGCGGTGTGGTAGGGTGTGCGTGTCTGAGCAACAATATCTGCTGGCAAAATAGGAAATCACCAGAACAGCATTGAAATAAGAGGGGTGGGAAAGCGAGCGTGTGGCTAAACTCCAGCCTCGGGAGGAGAAACGTGGTTGAGACACTGGAGCAAAGGGTGAGGAGGCAGGAACTCCCAAGTTACCCCTGCACTGGGCATTGGCTCCCTCCGACTCCTCGGGAAAGGCATTTCCCCTCCTCATGCCTGAGTGAAGAACACTGACCTACCTTGAGGGGATGCTCCATTCATTAAAGACTCTGAGGCATCAAACTCTAACAGCATTGTTCTGTCTACCTGAACACTTCTTGTCATGGCTGTGGGTTTGGCTTTTAGGCAGTGCAGTGCAGTGACTGCTAGGGAAACGTATGGGCATTAGGATATGTTATCTGTGATTGTCAGCTACATTGTCAGAAGCAGTGTCAAATCGTGGGTTGCGCCCTTGTGTCCCCAGCTGCAGAGCGTTTGTGCTTTCTCGCAGAGGCGTTCAGCTCGCTACAGACTGCAGGAAGGAGGCTCAGGGACTAGAGTTGGAGACAATCTGCAAGCAATGAGAGTGTCTCCGGCACTGAGGGAGGGAGCAGCAGAACCAGCTTTCATTGCTCTGTGCACTTGTGTATTCTCTGCATCCTTTGGGCTGCAGCGTGTTCGTACAGACACATGCCATAAGCAGAGTTTTTGTAACAGTGCCTCTTCTGCCGTGCAATGCAAACCTGCCAATAAATGTCATCAGCAGCAGCAAGAGTGACCACCTTTAACTTACTACAAATGAACTGTCCCACGAACACAGAAATAACCCCCCAGGAAAGTGCCCTGTGGCAGTTTGGTTTTGATAGGCAGGTAGGTGCCCTAGGCGGATTGCATGCAGGTTGGGCAGGGCATAAGGGAAGGGATTTTTGAACAATGTATGGGAAAATGTTTTCTCAGAAGGAAAAACACAAAGAAAAAGCAAAGGTCTAGTTCAGCAGAAGGCATGAGAACAGAGTCAAAACAGACTAGCTCCATGGCAGGGTTTGCAGGGGAGCACAGCTACAACCACAAGAGAAGGACTGCGAGAAGGGTGCTAAGTCTGAGAGTGCTGGAGACCTGCAGCTGCACTGAGCTGGGACATCAACAGGAAACAGAACAGGTAAAAGTCAGGGCAGGGGGAAGAAGCTGTCCTCTCTCATGGCCCCTTCCTGCGGGTGGGGCGGGGGCGCTGTGTAAATACTCCTGAGCACAGTAGGACTAGAGAAGTGAAGGAGAGGTGACTGGAGAGCTACAGACTGGCTTCAGCAACTGGGGGCTGGACTCCTTGTGGCTTTTTTGCTCACTTCCTGCACATGAGAAACTGGTAGCAGCCTGGGCCTGGAGCCAGCCAGAGGGAGTGTGTTCAGCCCTTATAGACCAGATTAGTGAGGCCAGATGAAATTCGCCTCCTTCCTGCCTCCCCCCCAACTCCTCGGGGTATTGGCTTGGAAAAAGTGTTCCTTAAAATTGGTATTTTTATTATTTGTATCATTGTAGCACCTAGGACCCCCAGTCATACACCAAGACCCCACCGCTTGGCACTGTACAAACACAAAACCAAAAGTCGGTCCCTGCCCTAAGGAGCTGACAATCCAAGTATGAAACCAGAGACAACAGATGGATACTGACAGCCCGATGGTGAAGTACAAGGACCCAGAGAGACAGGGTTATTCTCTACAAGGCTGGAATAAGCCTGGTTCTAATATCCGCCTTTGCCTCTGGGGGTGGGAGGTTCCTAAATGATACAGGGCTCCCACAGGTTTCTCAGCTGGATTCCAGCCGTGCATAGAGCTGCGCCCCTGTGTTTGTATGCGCACGTCTGTCTGCCGAATTTGTCCATCTATCCTAGCGCGATGACTGATGGACCGACGGCTTTGTAATGGCAGAGGCCACTCCCTTTCCTGTCTTCTCTTCCCTGTCCCCTTGTCCCACTTCTCTTACCCTCACCCTTCTCTCTGCTCCGTGGCTACCCAACACACAGCTCATTGCTGAATGGTGGGCCTGGGACATTGGACAGTGGACACAAGTTATCCAGAGCCACAGATTCTCCTTGTACTCCTAGGTCCCCTTAAATATTTACATACTTTAATCTTATTGTTTGGAAGGCGTCCACATTTAGTTACATACTGTAAGCCTGTTGGTTGAAAGGAATTTGCACATGTGCCATCTTGTTGGTTGGGAAGAGTAAGCATAATCATTTACATAGTGCAACCTGATGGCTGAAAAGAAAGGAGGCCTCAAACGAGAGCACTTGAGGGGCAGGCATAGATAGACATATCAGAGATGTGTGTGTGTGTGTATGTATATATGGTTATGTCGTTATTCCATTGGGGAGGGTCTTTTCCATATGCGGAAACCTGCCATAAAGAGACCACTCAAGGTGCTAGCAAAAATGAGCCCTAATTAGCATTTCTCTTTAGCCAAAGCTGGAATTAAATTATGAAGTAAGCCCACTGGAAGTGGCAAAAATAGGCAGAAATGCTGCTGGCATGAGCGAGTTGCACCTTCCTGCAAAAGTCAGATGTAACCACCCTTCACGTCTCTAGCTGTCTGATACCATGGAAAAATGTGCCCCACTGGTGGAATTTCCTCTGGACTTTGAGATGGGTCAGTTCCTCCTTTCATTACAGGAACTTCTACTGTGTCACTGAAAGAAACAGTTGCATCCAGCCCTCTGCCAAATGCTGCAAATTAAACTTGAACCTAACAAGGGGAAACTTCCTGATGTGCTGATAAGGACGATGGAAGAGAGCTGCTTTGTGGTATTACTCCAAAGTCCTACTCATCAGCTGCGTTTAGGTAACCGGTTTTACTGAAAAAACCCACAGTGAAGTTTCTGTGAAGTTTGGGTGACTCTAGGAGAATTCCTGAAATGCCCTGGTAGGAGTTTAATTTAACCCACAACAAAACGCCCTTTGACCTTCTGTTGTGTTTCCATTTCTAAATGTAAGAAGAAGAGCGAAAATGGGGCGGGATGTGCCATTGCTTTGTAGCTTGAGTCATCATTTAAATCTGTGTGATGTGAAGGTAAAATTACTCCCATTCAGAGGGGAGAGGGGTTGCTGTGACCTTAAGAATCCCTCCCAGCCAGTTGTCAAAGGGTTCACTGTTGGGTAACAGCAACTCCTACCAGGCCTGACAAACGCCCTCCACCGAGCACACCTCTTTCATGGGCTGAGTCCATTGATGATGTCATGTGAGGGCACGAATAAAAATGTATGTCACACTGCTCATTGTCCGCGCAAGATGTGTGGAGGGATGCTATTTAAGGAGTTGTACAGGTGCTGAAAATACCTTTCAAAGGCTGTCACCAACCAAAGAGAATAACCAGGTTTCTTCCAGCCAGGAAGTAGGAGGTGTAGCTCTGTCGGAACGGAAATTGAGCTTTGTAATGGAAGCCCTATTTACATGGGACGTCTCCTGGCGGCTGAGCAGTCAAGAGGGAGACAAGACACTGGAGAATGAACCACAGGCAGTTGCCCTGTCTCTGAGGGAAGACAATGAACTTTGAGGAATATAATGGGAAGGCAGAAAGACCCCTTTTGTCCGGCACCTGAGGAAGCAAATGGACAGTGCGTGTATAGTCATGAAAACAGGATCTCAGTCAGGCTTGGCTAAAACGGGGTGAGATGAACGTCCTTAGACAGAAGGTTAGCTGCGACGTTTAGTCTTTGTTTTATATGTAACCATCCCGTTTCCATCATCCTTAATCACCGGCGCGAGAGTTTTAGTCTTAGGACTATAAATGGATCTGTGCTGTGGTGTTATATAGGAGCTGATCCAGAGTTGAGCTGTACAAGCTGTGTACACTGCTCCCTTGGGGACAGCAAACCTGGTATTACTGTGAGTGTTCACCAGACAAGGGTCTGGACACTACGGGGGAATGCTTCAAGGGGACTGGGGTACATATATTGTTAACTTGCAAGGCAAAGGAAGGGCTGGCATAGCCCAGAGGAGATGGGTTGGGGGCTAACAGACTGGAGTTGTCAGGGAGCTGACACCCAGTTAAGTACCAGCAAGTCTCTCTCTTGCAGGAGGAAGGGGTGTAACACAAGGTGACTCTCAGTGCCGTGTGCCCTGAGAACCATCCCAGTTGCCCAGTTTGCTCAGGTGTAAACATGACAATTGGTGCATTGCCTTTTGCTCGTGATTTGTCACCGAATACATCAAATTTACAGGATTCACTTGGGAAAACTGCATTCCACTGCTGCCAGCTTATGTGGAACCGCAGGAGAGAAGCTGACTATCTTGCTCCTGTTCCTTCAGTTCTGATCTAAAAATTCTCTTTCTCATGTGCACGGTAATGGCACAATGTTGCAGTTCCCTAATCCCTAGAAGGGAAAACCCAGCTGTAGCTTCAGTACTCACACACAAGAAGATACACTGAAATAAATGACACCATTTGTCTTTTATATATTTAAAAATTAAATAAATAACATTTATTTGAACAAAAGAGGCAAAACATTTCCAATAGTCAATATACAACACTCATAAATATGTCAGGGGTCTTGCTGCTGTTAATAGCCCTTGCGTGAGAGAAGAGAGGGAAAGGATATCTCTGGGCCCCAGGACTAATGTCCATGCAGAAATGCCGCACAATTTTAATACAGCTTACTGCCTCTATCCCATTCTTCCCACAGACACGTTATATGTTTCCAGCAGGGGAGAGACACGTTCTCTGTACTGAATGGAGATGGGTGGGAATCTCTGTCATGGCCAACTGCCCTGTTTGGTGGTGGCTGTGTCTGTGGATGGGGGGTAGGCTGCAGCTCCCTCAGCTCTGCAGTTCTGATGTGGCTCCCATCAGCACAACTTTCATGGTGTTGGCAATAGCTTATCACAGTAGCTGCTCCCCCAGGGACACCACTACATGAGGTAGTTAAGAACAAATCATACAAAGAGAGCCTGCTATGCTCGCAGCTCCCCATGTGACGCCTCACTCCAGTCCAGGAGCAGACTCTCCCCAGCCTGGCCTATCGGCGACTGTCCTTGCAGTCAGCCCCCAGCAGGCTCCGAGAGTCGATTTCCAGGCAGAGTCGCTCATTTGAATGTAAGCTGGAGATGAGAGGCAGGGTGCCCAGCAGGTCTGTGTTGAAGATGTCCAATGCAAAGGGCGCCTTGGGGAGCTCAGGGAGGGATTTCAAGGGCACAGAAATGCCCAGCGCCCCGTAGTTGAGCAGACTCGAGCCGCTGCACTCCAGCCTGCTTGTAAAGCCCAGGAAGCCTGACTCCCCAGCGAGCACCGTGTCTGTATTGCCGCAGGTGAGCTCTGGGGATGCCTGCTTCAAGTAGCCTTTGGCTAGGGCAGGCTCAGAGCAACCCATCTCCAGCGTGACATCGGTCCTGCCAGGGCTTTGTGTGGGAAGCTGTCCCTCAGTTTTGTCCTGCTGCCTCTCTATGGTACCCTTCGGCTGCTTCAGGTACCCACGAAACTCCACAGCCTCCTGGCTGAGCCCCCTGGCCGGCGGGGAAGAGTCATGCTCTCTTTCACGCTGGTCCTGCCCCTCATCCACAGATGTATAGTCCCTGCTGCTGGCGGAGTGTGTCAGGCACGGGGGACGCCACACCAGGCTTATGCCACTATCGTCACTCCCTGGCAGCTGTCTTTTGTAGTCCTGGCTCTCTGAGCCCCAGAACCGGCTCAGGCCAGAGGAAGAGTCTTGTAGGCAAATGCCGCTGTCGGTGCTGTTGCAACTGCTGTCCCCCCGTGCTAGGCCTTCCGGCTCCAGCCGGCGTTCACAGTCATCAGGGAAGGTCAGGAACACGCAGCCCTTGTCTGGTGGCTGTTGTGCAGGGCTGGAGCCGCTGTCTGTGCTGCTGTGTTGCATGGGGTCCTTTTGGCACATGGAGAGTTGCTGGACTGACTCCTCATCCAAGCACACAACCACGTCCCTGGCCCCGAAGGGGAAGTGCTCATGCTCTGACCCAGAGGGTTTTAGGAGAGATTTCTGGGAGGGGCGGAAAGAAGCAGGAAGATGGGTTATCTTGCTTCATTCCCTCATCCTCTACTTGTTACTGTTTGTTGCTTGGCTCACTCCCCACATCTACACCCACACCAGCACTCGCCATAGGGGGCAGTGCTCTGCTGGTGGACCCACTGCAGCAGTGCTTGCCCCTTTTGGAGGTGCTGAGCACACCCAACTCCCATTGATGCCCTCTGGAGCCACCCATGCTCTGCATGTCTGACCATTCGGCCCAGGGGGCTGCAAAGTGGGCAGGAAAACAGAGGCCCTTTTGAAAACATGAGCAGTGTGGACTGGTGGCAAGAGCTGAAACTAGACCCGGGGGCTTTAAATTCTGGGTCAGCACCCTGCCTCCTGGAGAACATGGCTCCCAAAGCCTGGGAACCAACAAGCTCTGTGCTCACGCAGAGCAGCGATGCTGTGTGCGGCAGGGATCTGCCTGCCCACTGCACTTAGCAACAATACGCCAGAGGGACCCTGCCACACTGGGAGTCAGAGAGATGCCATTAGCATCTGGTCGGCTTACCAATATGCCTGGTGTCCTGACGGGTTGCTTTATGTATGCACAGAGTAGAAGAGTGCCCAGGAGAAGAGTGGCTGAGAAAACGAGGAGGAAGATGCCAACGCCGACAGATATAATCCCCGTGCTCTCTGGAAAGGAACAGAAGACTGGAGTTAGCGCGCCCTTGTGGCACAGGCTCTTGAGTCACGCTGCCATTGTCGGCCAGGCAACAGGCGCACATGGCGCCCTGCAGAGATAAGGGACGTGAACCGTGCCGAGGCTCTGACAAACGAGGTGTGTCCATCTCTAGAGCCTTTGATCTGAGAAGCCCCAAGTGTGTGTGTGAGGGGGGATCTCTGGAGGGCTAGTATGTGTGTGAGGGGGAGTATCTTGCGGGGAGCTGTGTAAGTGTGACAGGAGGATCTCTGGGGGTGTATATGGCCTGGCTAGAGGATTTTGGGGCTCCCCAGTAGCTTTATTCTCCAGGGCCATATCATCACAGTCTCTTCTTCCCTCCCACACACATTCCTCCAGCCCCTCCTCCCTCTCCGCCTGTCCCTGTGTGCAGTGGCTATTGCCATACGCTAGGCACAGGCAGCAGCAGGCCCCAGAGGCTGGGTGCCCCTGACCTCACAGGGCGTGGGAGTCATCTCAGCCACAGGGCTCTGGGAATGTCGTGAGGACTTCAGAGCTGGCCACGTGGCTCTGCTGTGTCATGGAGGGGTCCCTCGAGTGGGGAGGCTCAATGCCACCTCAAGAGCATCCTTCCTGGGGGAACTCTCTGGGGCAGAGTCTCCCTTGTGCCTAAGCTCCACATGGAGAACAGGAGGATCTGGGGAATGGAAGGCATCAGGATATGGCCACAGCACTCTGATTCTGAGAGCTAGTCTGCACTGGACCCCACCCCAGGCATGAGTCAGAGCAGCCCAAGAGCTGCCAAACCATACGTCAGCAGCATATGGTCCCTAAGGGTCCGCATGGCAGCTGAGGAGCAGGCAGGGAAATATCCAGCAGTGGCTCTGCCAGAGTGATGGGTGGAGCTCAGACCCAGGTAAGACCAATAGACCCAGCGTGTCCGTTTACCGTCCTCCTTGGGGATCGCGACACACTTCTCCTTGGTCATGTTGGAGGCGACTGGCCTGGAGAGGACACATAGCTCTACACGGATGCAGTACTCCTCGCCCCACAGGAGCATGGGGATGTCAAACTCTTCTCTGGTCTCCACCTGCACCTGCTGAAATAGTCACCAGAAGGACTGTCACCTTTGGCAGGCTGGGCACTAGTGACCAGCACAGAGCAGCCCAGTAGACCAGAACCTGGGGAGTTTCTTGGACATTTGGAGGTGGTTCTTTCACCTGATTTGGCCCCTGTGGTTCTGGGTCTGAAGTGGGCCTGCTTTCAGGCTGGCTTGGGCATGTCTTGGGAGTAGCCAGATGTTCACGTGAGCAGCTGATCTCATGAGATTCCCACTTTTCCAACAGTGCAGGTAGCTGAGGGTGCAAGTGTGGCCTTGTGGCTGGGACCTGGGGCAGCAGCTCAGGACTCCTGGGTTCTATTGCCAGTTCTGTCACTGACCTCCTTGGTGACTTTAGGCAAGATGCTTATCTCCCTGGGTCTCAGTGCCCCATCTGTAAAATGGGGATAACCATCTATTGAGCTTATCTGTCTCTTACTCTGGTCTGTGCAATGGGGTCTTGCTCTAGTGTGGGGCCATTAGGTGCTATTGCACACACATCACAATTACTTGCACCTGATCCGTGGATTGGCTTCAGGTCTGAACGCAGAACACATGTTGCTCTCTGTCTGTCCATATTAGAGCAGGTCAAACATTTAAACTCTTTCTCTTGAAAACCATTGCTCTTTCAAAGTTGTTTTCATTTTACGGTTCATGGTCCATAAATGTTCTGGGTTTTGTGAAATTCTTTTATATTTTTAATTGAAATGCTCATTCTCATTGACTGAAAATCGACTCAGCAAAATGTCCCAGTGATGGATTTGGGATCTATTCCAGTGCCAGTGTTGGTGAAAACCTCACAACTTATTGTTTATAAAAAAATTCAATATTGTTGATTCTTTTGTAAAAAAACAAAACATTTAGTTTAAATCATGGCAATTTTTCAACTTAAAAATGTCTTGTTCAAAGCATCTCAACCAGTCCTAAGTATGAAGGCCATCGACACTGTCCCCCACCCCTGGAGTCTGGGTGACACAAGTGCTGGCTGTCTCACCTGGAGATTGTCTGACGCCCTCCTGACATACGTTCTGTATTGTCTACCATACTTTTGTATGTCTTTGTATGAGACCGTTTTGTTCCCCACTTTCAGGATCAGCTGCTGCACGCTCACGTGGATGGTGTTGTCTCTCACAGACAGACTCACATCTGATAGACGCAGAGTAGCTGGAAAAACATAATACAGAATCCATGAGAATTGTTTCTCTTTCGTTCCGCTAAGAGAGGTTTGTTCTAATCACAGGAGCCCAGTGTCAAACAGCTCTCGGCCCACATGCATTTCAAGTGCCACTCTTCTATTCTATTCTATCCAAGTTCTTAGCCCACCCTCACCATCCCAGCATCTCACCCCTGGCAGTAGTGCATTAAGTGCTGTGACTAACATCTGTCACATGAGGTTTGTTCACCTAACCCAAAACAGTTTGTCAGAATGAACTCTGGCGCAGTGACTCTGCCATGAACTCTCTTGAGCACCGTGGCCAGCGCACGGGCTGCGAGTGCTTTATGAATGCAGCTGTCATTATTAGCACTTAGTGACTAGGCACCTGAGTAATCATATAGCAGGGGTCAGGAGTAAGCTCCCCAGCTAAGCAGAAACAGAGCTCTGACACCAAGCACATGAAAGATATTTGCTAGCAGCTAAATCAAGTTTACAGGATGCAGTTTTGTGGCTATGGATTTTAGGGTCCAGAAGAGAAAATGATGGAAAAACCCCAGGTACCTTCTTTTGGGGAAAAAGCGTTCGTCCTGGCCCAGAGAGAGGTGCGGTTTCCAGATACTGCCCTAACTCTTGCATAGTAGCGGGGAGAAGATGGTTGAGTGTCCATCATCTGGTAGGTCAGATTGCAGGAGTGCCCAGAGATCCCAGTGCAGTCTGGGACAGCCATCCAGGGAGACTTACCATACCTGTAGGGAGAATGTCACTCCTTAATGAAATGTTTTCTGGGTGTGGGAAGCATTAGGGCTGCTGGAAAGTTAGCACAAGATTTCTGTGAACTGATTTGCACATTAAATATCAGAGCAAGTGTAAAGCAAAAGTGACTTGGGTTTCAGAGGCGAGTTCATCTCCCTATGGTCCTGGGTACTTACAGCTTATATTCCACTTCATACAACGTGTCACGGGAGTAGTTCACTCCGGGCGTCCAGTGCAGGACATAGTTGAAGATGTCAGCAACAAATTGCACTTTGCCTGGTTGGGACAGACTCTCACCTGCAGGAAGGAATCAAAAGGGAGAGTTTGCAGCAGGCCAGTCCTGGGGATGAGCCAAGGGGTCCAGGTGCATTGTGGGGTGTGATCTTATTGCAGTGATGTGCTCACCTCAGCACACACTCCAGAGCTGGGCCTGGGGAGATGTCACTGTGGACAGGAATGTGGGGGAAGTTCCAGTCTGTCTCGGAAACCCAGCATTAGAAGCAACAACCCTTTCATTCTACTCATCCTCCAGCAGGGCCCATCCTTCTCCGAGAGAGTGTCTCCTCTGCACTTATCATGGAGAAGACACAGACCCCCTCCACAAACAACAACAGGGATGAACTCTGCTCCCCCTGGGAGCTTCTGCAGAGTATTGGGTCATAGCTATAAATATCACCTCCCTGGGAGCAGCTACATCATCTCTGCATCAGCTGCTCTGCTTTTCCCTCTCTCCATCTATCTATCATGTTCTGTCTTCTCCTGCTCCACGTTCCACCCAGTAGAACCTTCCTGAGCTTCAGAGCCCCACATAAGTAGCCCATGAACAGAGTCATGACAGCAATGCCAGCCATATGGTCCACAACCCCCTAGTCTCTCTTACTGCACTGTATGGTGTCCGCAATCCTCCCAGGAGGCTCAGTGTGAAGCTGCATTTGTTGGACTCCATCACTGCCCCCAGGCTCGCTCATTTCAAAGGAAAAGGAAAGAACATTTTAAGCAGAGTGCTGAGCTCTCAGTGATCGCACCCTGGCGGTTAAACTCTCAATGCCTGGGGCCAGCAGCTTTGTGTGTGTGTGTGTGTGGGGGGTGGGTGGGTGAGAAAACCTGGATTTGTGCTGGAAATGGCCCAACTTGATTATCATACACATTGTAAGGAGAGGTTTCAGAGGAACAGCCGTGTTAGTCTGTATTCGCAAAAAGAAAAGGAGTACTTGTGGCACCTTAGAGACTAACCAATTTATTTGAGCATGAGCTTGGATACAGCTCACTTCATCAGATGTTTACCGTGGAAACTGCAGCAGACTTTATATACACACAGAGAATAGGTATTGTTTCATATTCTCTGTGTGTATATAAAGTCTGCTGCAGTTTCCACGGTAAACATCTGATGAAGTGAGCTGTAGCTCACGAAAGCTCATGCTCAAATAAATTGGTTAGTCTCTAAGGTGCCACAAGTACTCCTTTTCTTATTGTAAGGAGAGTGATCACTTTAGATAAGCTATTGCCAGCAGGAGAGTGGGGTGGGGGGAAGTATTTTTTCATGCTTTGTGTGTATAAAAGATCTTCTACACTTTCCACAGTATGCATCTAATGAAGTGAGCTGTAGCTCACAAAAGCTTATGCTCAAATCAATTGGTTAGTCTCTAAGGTGCCACAAGTACTCCTTTTCTTTTTGCGAATACAGACTAACACGGCTGTTACTCTGAAACATACCACCTGCCGTGACTTTTAAAATATTCATTAGGTGCTGTCCACACCTAACAGGAAAGCCACAGAGTGAAACTCCAAGCAAGGAACTTGCTGAAAGCTTTTTTCTTTCTTTCTTTCTTTCTTTCTTTCTTTCTTTCTTTCTTTCTTTCTTTCTTTCTCATTAATACCACAACAACAACAACAAAAACAGAGGTGAGAAGCACCAACCCGTGGTTCCATTTTGAAAATGTGTAAACAAATGTTCACAGGTTTCTGAGTTCGGAAATTCATTGAAACTGGCTCTTTACCATAGTTTCAATTTTGACAAATCTGCATTTTTCAATGATGAAAACTTTAGCTGAAAAATTCCTGACCAGCTCTAATCAATATCCTCATTTTGCAGATAGGAAAACTGAGGCCGAGGGAAGTTAAGTGACGAGCCCAAGATCACCCAGGAAATAAGTAGCAGAGCGAGGAATAGAACCAGATCCACAAGTCCTAGTCTCCTGATCAGTCACTGGACCATGAAGTGTTCTGAAGAATATTTATTTAATATTTTGACAGTGCTTTGGCAATTAAATTGTTCAATGTTATCCTCTTCCCCCGCTTTGACTAAGGGATGGTTATCTGACACTAGTTTGCTGAACTTAGAACCACCTGACAGTTATTTGAAATGACACAGAAGTGCTGTACTTGCTAGTGACAGATTATGCTGAAGGCAGGAAAGTGCAGAGATATTTTCAGAAAAATCCCAGCCAGAGGAAACCCAGCTCCTAGACTTGACCAGGTGAGAGTGGCATTCTAGGGAATGGGCATGGAGAATGGATTTTCTAACCAGACAAAACACTGTCCGTGGAATTTGTTTGAAAGAATTTCCTGTCACTTTGTTCCTTTCTGAAGCTGCTGCTGATTTAATCCAACTGAGATGGGCTGCAAGCTCCTTGCAGCCCTGGGTATTTTGATTTGTGGGCTATGGAGGGACATCATCTTCCTTGGTGTAGCCAGTACAAGCATGGATACAATGGCAAGTAAGACACTCAGAAAAGGAACACATCTGAGAATGACTCTACCCTTTAGACAAAACCCTAGGAAGGCTGGTCCAGTGGTTAGAGTGAGAGGCAGGACACCTGGGTTCAATTTCCTCCTCGGTCACAGTTACGGACTGCCTCTGGGACCTTGGGTAACTGCAAACTTCAAATGACTTAGTTCTCAGCTTGCATCCAGCCATCCTGCCACTATGTGGAGGGGAAAGACCTCTGGTCTCCAAACACCTTGTGTCTTCTGAGCTGGAACATTTCCAGGTCCAATGTCAAAATATTATCAGCTAACGGCAGTTACTGCTTTCCTGTTTACCTCCTTTGCAGCACCTGCCGTTCAATAACAAATATTAACCCACCACCTGCTCCCAAAGCCATGGTGCGCCAGCACAAGTGAGCAAAGCTCAGGGAGGTTGGTGACGCTGACTTCACAGAGGGTCTTTGCAGTGACAAGGGGCCATGTTCATAGGGAACTGGGGTCCAGATTAGCATTCCCCGAATGGAGACAGACAATGTATGGGGACAAATGGGGATTTCAGGCATTGAAGATGTGTACTTCAAGTAGAGGAGAGAGTGATGGATTTCCCTCCTGCCGCCCTGCCAGTGTCACCCAGAGAAATCTCATGTGAAAGCAAGGATACAAATAAATATGAATGAAATATTAAAAATCCAAGAGGTTCCACACACTTCCCCCTATCCTTAGCCCACCTAGCCAAGCTCTGAACCCCAACCCTGGGCTCTGAATCATGGTGCTGAGGAAGGAAGGGAGCAGGAGGCCCCCTAGATTAGTATTTAAGAAGTAGGGAAGTCACTGGCTGCTGATTAAGGGTTGAAGATGGCTTACCATATATCTGCAGGCAGAGGGACACCACAACCCCCACTGTCAGTGCTGAGAAACCTGGTGCCATCCTGGGACCTGCATTGTCCGCATGTACCTAGCTGGGAGAGCAGAAAGCTGTGATCTCTGTAGGTCTCACTAGCACCCTTGTTTTTCCTCTTGGAGGCTGAGCTCAGTATGACGTCTGAGGGGGCGTCAGCATTACACCACAGCTCTTCTGCTGTTTCCACATTTCTCTAATTTCCGCCCACTCCTCCGCGGCTAATTTGTCAACAGCAGTTGGGTATTTCCTCCAACTGGCCTATAACGAATCACGCCAGGGACTTTTCTATGAAAAACTGCTAGTTACAGAAAAAAGAAAATCGCACCAAATGGTCTATCCACCCCTTGGACAACGGTCCTTTTGCTATTACAATAGAATGGAAAAGCACATCTCATGCCAGTGGGCAGGGTAGAGAAAAATCAATGTTGAAAAGAAAAAGTATTTAAATCAGATTTTTTTATTTTTTTGTTTAAATTATGTCTTTCTTTTTAAAAATAAACCGGTTTAAAGTGAAATTTGAATTTAATTCAAGATATGTTTAGGCTTCAATTTGTTATAATCTCTTAAAACATTTAAATAAAAATTAAATGTGCTGAATCCATGAGTCTCAAAACTTTGAGTTAAAGGCTGCTTTTCTATATAAAGAAAGGTTTCAGAGTAGCAGCCGTGTTAGTCTGTATTCGCAAAAAGAAAAGGAGTACTTGTGGCACCTTAGAGACTAACCAATTTATTTGAGCATGAGCTTTCGTGAGCTACAGCTCACTTCATCGGATGCATACCGTGGAAACTGCAGAAGACATTATATACACAGAGACCATGAAACAATACCTCCTCCCACCCCACTCTCCTGCTGGTAATAGCTTATCTAAAGTGATCATCAAGTTGGGCCATTTCCAGCACAAATCCAGGTTATCAATGGAAAAATTTCCAACTTTTGAGATCAAGCTTTTATAAATATGGCACAGTAGGTCATGTACTGCACTAAGAGCTTGTTTTGTTTAATAAAATAATTTGATATCCTGATGTGTGTTTAATTAAATTCCAGTTACCATCCTAAAGCAGCTTGACACAAATCATGAGCAAACAGTTATATGATATAATAAATCAGCAATATCTCACCCACCATTTTCTAACATAGTAAAATGTACAAGTAATTAATAAGAAGCTGAAAAGATTAAGCTATGTACTGTGCTTAAATAAATAAATATAGTTATAGGTCCACTCCTAGGTAGCAAAAAGATGTACCAAATTTGGTGTAAAGGCTCTATTTAGTAGTAAATCAACATATTTTAATGGTCATATCAACCAATGAGAATGCACCTTGCTTTAGAAAATGACTGAAGTACAAATGGAAAAGTTGATTAAAATCAATTATTTAAATTGCAGTTTTCCACTTGGGGATTAAATTGTAATTTAAATCAATCCATCCTGCCAGGGGGAGAAATTCAGTCCCATGCAGACAGTCCATGCAGTGACTCTTAACAATGATTTTACATAAGGGTGTGGGAATGGCCAGACTGAATCAGACCCATGGGCCAACTCGGCCCGTGTCCCATCTCTGACAGTGGCCGGCACCAACTGCTTCAGAGCAAGATGCAAGAAACCCTGAAGTTATGAGATCAGCTGCCCCCAGATCTTTCTGACTCCCAGTTGTTGGAGGTCAGATCATGCCCTGAAGCAGGAGGTGTGATAGCTCTTCCTAAACTCTGGGTTGTGTTTAAATGTCCTGTTCTAAACAGCAGGCATTGGGGATTTTCTGAAGACATCTTGGTATTTATATTTTTGGCTGGGGTCACTGGGCTCTTCAGATTTTCAAAGTTTTGGGTGCCATCCTGCAGCCCAAGGCCAAAGTGGTCTCCGAGAGATCCTCCCAGCATCTAGATCTAAGGCACTGAACAGGGGTTTCTTGCACATGCTTGAGCTGGGGTGTGGGTCTGGCCATGCCACAGTGCCTCATTCATGCCCAGCATGCCAGGACGGATTTGGACATGTGGCACTTGCTTTGTACTTCAAGCTTTGTAAGGCCACTGAGTTTATTTGAATGCTTTGTTCTGCTATTGCAAAATGAATCCAAACCAAGCCCCTGGCTGGGGGGTTTTCCTGTGGGCGGTGAGCTGTGCAGCAGCCCTCATGTGATAGATGCAGTTTCTGTTTCAGAAACTCAAGTAGAGCTGAGGGGAGAAAGAGAATTTCCCACCTGTGCCTCCTCTGTGTAAATAAACAGAATGAGACAGAAAAGACCCAGAGAAATTAAGCAGATGTCAGCCCCTTGGCACACCCATGATGGGCAACCTCAGCCAGCTCCTGGGCTGAGCTCAGGTCACTGGCTTGCAGAACTCCACAAAGGAGAAGAGCTAACCAGTCCCATTCCTAGGGGCAGCAGATTGGGTCCGCTGGGGCTTTGTCCTGGGTACTTGTAAATGTCTTAAGCAATGAGGCTTTCACTGCCCTCCTCAGGAGGCGATTCCAGAACTGAATAGACGAGATCTCAGAGGCAGGAAATTTCTCTTCTGAATCTCCCCATTTTCCTGGGTATGCCCCTGCTGGCACCCTGCAGATGAGCCCCTTAAATTCAGATCCTCACCCAGCCCAGATGTGAAACTCTAGCTCCTGCAAAGTGAGCCTGGAAATCCTACAGGAACATCAGGGCTTTTGCAGGGACCCAGGAGCTGAGAAATGCAGGGCAAGGTCCCAAGCCCATAAGAAACTCAACAAATGGGAAAATAAACACTGCTACCCCAGCTCTAGACCAGTGGCACTCACTGTGCTAGGAACCAGGCTGCGTCGCGTGGCCTAAGAGCCGGGAGTTTGCGGGCGGAGGCAGCCGGAGGGCAATAGATGGGGCAGCAGGTGTGCACAATTCCACTTGCTACATCAGCATGGCTACCCCCTGCTTTCTCCGGGGACTGGAGCGGGGGAAGCTGCCGGTCCCCTGTCAATTCACAGCTGTCCCCTTAGTCAGGTCTGATCCATGCTGACTAGAGGGCCCCTCAAGGCCTGAAATGAAGACGCCAACACTCCCCGCACTCTGCTACTTTCTGTTTCAGGCAAAACCCTTGGAGTGAAAAGCCTGAGGAAGAGAAATGCAGAAGGAGGATGCACTAAGAAAGCAGAGCATGGATGGCCATGTCCAGCCGGGCAGTGGGCTGAGGGGCCTGGGGGAGGCTGTGCACAGTTTAGAAGAAAATGAAACGGACTGAGGAGAAATCGTACCTGTGGAGCACACTCATTCTGAGAGTGCTGGTTTCACACCCCAGCCTGGCGCTGCAGGGCCGGAGCTTGTTTGGCAGGAAATATCGAGGGCTGCTCCTAGCCCCCCACCCCCACCCCGGCCACTCATACACACTGGCTTCCTCGTGAATTGAAGAGAGCTTTGCTGGAGACTCTGCACCCTGCTGCCTTCAGCAGCACGGCAGGGCTTTGCACACAAGGTGTGCTCAGAGCCAGAGGGGTCAGGTACTTTCAGCAGCGTTCCCAGCACATGTGTTTTAGACACGCGGGAGGCCTGAGATTCAGAGGTGCCTGCTGGGTTCTGCGGGGCGGCAGGTGCCTTCTTTCCAGTGCCTTCAGCATCACAGCGGGGACCTGGCGGCATTCGGCGGCAGGGCAAACACGTGTGTTCCCGACATGGCTTGTCCCTTCGGCAGCATCGCAGGCATGTACGGTCTGGATGTGCCTGGGCCGTTCACAAGCGCCAGGCACTGCAGACACACCCAGTATCTTCAGCTGTTCACCTACTGCCTCTGGGAGTCCTAGTTCCACAGTACACCTCTCATCTGTCTGCCAGGGCGAGCCAGCCCACCTGGATATGGGCTTGGAGACCTGCTACAGGGAGCTGATGGTGTCAGACTAAGGAAAGAGGAAAGGCCCTTGGACTCCCCTGGTGGGTTAATCTGCCCAGCCTTGTGCAGGCAGCAGACAAGATAGACATTGCTCTTCCTTGGCCCCAGCCCTCTGTATATCCCACAGGCTTCTTCATCAGTTAGCCATGTGCAGACGCCTCCAGCCCTGTCCCATGGCCTACGAGGGGGTGATAATAAACGAGGGCAGAGTGGCTTCACTCACCTTCATAACCCTCCACACACCAATCTGTCCTGGAGAGGGGTGTGGGCTCTGCTCAGGAGGGGACACAGGGACACAGGCTGGGGAGGGGAGGCTTGAGGTTTATGATCATATCAGATTATGAAAGTGTTGCTGAGTTTCCCTTTCATGCTCCAAGCTATTGACTAATCTCTGCTTTGACCACCTGCTCCACATCTCCAACACACTGGAAAGCACCCAATGGCCTCTCAGAGTGACACGAGTTTCGATAACTCGGTGAAGTTCCTACGAGTGACAGCCAAGGGAGTTAGAAGAGGGGACAGGGAGCTGGGATTCAAAGGTCTGTTCTGGGTTGTGCCATTGACTCACTCTTGGCCTCAGGTCTGGAGGAATTTTTGCTGCTTGTGGGGTGTTTTGTGAGACTGAATGAGCTCATTGTCCATGCTAGCTCGGGGCAGGTGCTGCTGTCAGGGTGAGCGAGGCACTGCAGAGCACTGGTCAGGGCTCAGTGTCCAGGCCTGTTATAACTGCCCAAGCAATGGGGCTTCCCCCAGGGAGTCTGTTCCCCAGCTCTTTGCTTCTCATTACTTGGAGATTTTCCCAGAGCCACACCCTACGGTTTTCCTCTGCTCAAATTCACCCCAGTTAAAGGATTAAAACTGGGAAGCCAGGGGAAAGTTTGGCTTGGCTCAAGATTCCACCAAAATATCAAAAAGCTAAAAAAAATATCAGCCTCTCGGTGCTGGGGAGAGCTCTTTGGTCAGGCAGCCTGTTCATTGCCGGCTGTCCTGGGACCCCGATCCCTGGCTGGGGGCCTAGGGTGCCCCAGCAAGACAGCTAATAGCAATGAGAACCGTTGTGCAACTCTCCCTCGCACCTCTGAGTCTGACCGTCGCTCCACCCCCTCCCCACACGACGTAACAATGGGTCCCAAGAGGACTGCTCAGGGACTGGGTCTTACAGTGAAATGCCCAGTTATGGGATGGTGCTGCAGCTCAGCACTGTAAAAACGGCCTAGAAGCAGAAGTGGAAAAATATTTTCCCTGGTGAGCACATATTTTCAGTGGAGTCCATTGAGTTGGCCCCTGCCCCCCATGGGGATTGTTTTATTTAATTGGGAGGACT